CCTAATAACTTTTTAAAAACGGAGCTGTACGGAAAAAAGAGGACTTGAGCACAAAACAGTCTTACAGTAACTACATGTCAACATCGCAAGCAGGGGGAAAAAAATATGTTCTGTGTGATTAATTTCTAAAGTTTGTCCTCAGCCCCATAAGGATGGCTGACGGAGACGGGATTTATGACGTATACTGCAGCCTGTCACCAGAGGGTGCTGTTCTCGGAGTGGCTTCACCCAGCGAAAAGACAGACACTTTTCATTCTATATACAGTCTATGGTTGGGACAGTTTTTCCATTTATGCACCTAACACTTTTTATTTAGACTTATCCTTTTGTTGAAGATTGGGCTGTAGACTATGGGCTTCTTGGTCAATCAATCAGTCAATCAATCAATCAACCAACCAACGAACCAACCAACCAACCAACCAACCAATCAGGCCTTATGTATAAAGCACTATTCATACAATGATGCGTACACAATTTGTAAGTAATATTGCAGTGTGTGCCTCTACATGTTTTCCCCATCTGTGTGTAATGTGTCAAACACATGGAAAACCTGCCTCACTATAACTCGCTCCCATCATAGTCAGAATTTTGGGGACTTTAAACTACTATTTTGAAGATTTTCAGTCAAATAAATGACAGTAAATCAATGTTGATGCACAAATGTTCTGGTCCTACAGCATGCTGACAAAAAACATTTGCATTTCAAGTTTTCTTTGGAGTAAGAAATGGATTTTAAGCCAACATTTGCAAAAATAATCACATGGGGGTTTGAGAGATAGTTGATTAATTGATTTTAAAGACAAACCTGATTTGAAGATTTCAGAAATCAAAGATTCAGAAAAAGGCCAAAAAAAAAAACATCAGAGAGAAATCTTGTACAAGTGACATTCAGGGTCAGGGAAGTACAAAAAATCTTTTCTATCATATATTGAGCGAAAGAGAGAGAGAGAAAAATATGCCGATATGTCAAAGCTCCGCTACTATTATGTGCCTTCTGCTGTGCAACGTGCACTGAGCATCCAAAGTGCAGGTAGTTGTGGGGCAAAACAATGTTGCAAAAAACGACATATACTTCAGGGGCAGAGAAAAGGAAAAGGAAGAAGAGAAAAAAACGCCAAGATAAAGTTATGTTTGCATGTCATGGAATGTTAACCAAAGAGATTTGTGAGGGTGTATGAGTGATCAACAATCAATATTATTGGCAGTAATAGAGGGCCCCAAAATCAAATTTTGCTTAGGGCCCCATTGAGGCTTGGGACGGCTCTGGTTCGAGTGGTTAATGTGAATCTCACTGATCTCATACTCCGAACAAATCATTTCACATTTGCTTTCAAGCAGACAGATGGAGTGATAAACCGACTCCAGAAAGGCTCATCATGTAACTCTCCTTGAATAACTGTACGAGTTAGAGAGAGCTATGTTAACTTAATTTAAAGCTATAATATTTCTTGACCAGGTGTCAACAGCCGAAACGGACCACTTTATATTTGAGACATACTGCCACTAATAACCTTGATGACCTCAGGTTGAGCAATCAGCTCTGATGATGGTCTTGGGCCATATGAGAGAATTTGTATTCATTGTGTTGGTTTCAAACAATGAATAATTTATATTTAGCTTGAAGCTGCTGCTGGTCTGCTCTGGAGGAACAACTGCAGCAGAGACAGAGGGCTGAGAGGAAAGACACAAGACTGTTAAAGGAAAAAGAAAGACTTGTCCATTACTGTTATGTCAGCTGAATTACAGACACGGTAAAACTGTTCAGCACCTCTTAATAGCCAAATGGTTAAATAATGTATGCTTGTTCCACATTCAAACATTATCTTGTGTTGGATGGCTAAGTGTGTCTTGAGGTGTAATGTAACCACAAAAGCTGTTTACAAAGAAAGCCTAACAATCTCCTGCTGTAGAAAATAGTGCACTAAAAACTTAAAAATGTAGGATGCTGAGAGAAATTGTACCCAGTATAGCTCCTTAGGCAAAAACAATAAGCTTTAAGGATCTTGTTTTCCCAACTGAATACCTTTTAACGATCACCTTCAATGTTTAAAGTTGCACTGTTTTGGAAAATTCTTTCATTTGTCCTGACTGCAGAATGATAGATTTTTCTCAATATCTTAACAGTGCTGTACAGGCTCAATGAAACTAGACTGCAACAATCACCTTTCTGTCTAACACATAAGCTCAGTCGACTTGTAACATCAATGTGAAAAAGCTCTGTTATTGTTCTCACCAAAAGCTGATAATTTAGCGCAACATGAATTTGATATAAAGTCAGCTTCTCGCTTTAAAAGCTGTGACTTGTACTGTTTTATATTTCATAAGCTTAGTGTTCTCCAGCTGTGACTGTGCTGAGAAAGTTTTAGGTGAAAGTAAACTGTAAAAACAGCGTAATCTGACAAAATAAACCGAGGCTGTCTTGCCAAAAATAGTGAGTTTATCTAATGCCAAAGAGGACAGCAAATGAACAGCATTGGACTTCATTACATTGAGTGGCATTAATTAACAAAATTTAGAAGGATTGACTCTAGGTACTCAATCTCAGTAATTTTAACTAATATTCCCTTACTTTACTGTAAAGGTGAAAACTGTTTAAAATGATGCATCAGCATGAAAATAAACAAGTTAAGTAATAGGTATCTTTTTCCAATGAGTATTAAAATAATTGCTGCCATATACAGTATGAGCATGCTTCACAATTGTTTTTACCCTTTTACCATGGTAGTTCAAAAACACAGCTCAGATCAAGAGTGAGGACTGTGTTTTCTTCCTGGCCCTGACAGAAAACCCCAAGTCCAGGACTTGAACACAGTTTTTTTTTTCATTGACAGGTCTTTCCCACTATATCACATCTAAGCCTGGCAGTGATTGCTTCTGTGGGTCTTTCCATTTCCCCATTTCATTATAAATAGTATAACCAGGGGGGTATTCCATGAAGCTGGTTTAGTTCAAAGCCTGTCTTATTCTGGTTAGTCTTGCTAACTTAAGTGAGAGTTAGATTCCATGAACAGGGCTTAGGGCTGGTGTGGCTTGGTAACCATGGTAACTCAGCCTGCACGACAAGCCTGGTCCTGGACAGGCTTACGGTCAAGCTTAATTTAGCTGCATCCACGAGAATGTCAGACGGGCTTCTGACAGAAGCTTTGTAAAACTCATGTCACACATTAAATTCATCTTTATTTGTGATGAATGATGTTCTTGTCTGGAAACATAAATTGAGAACTTTTTTAAACACAGGAATAACCATGAACCTAGACATGTCAGACACTACACCAACCCTGTGAATTAAGGTCCTTACACACCGGGGCCGATGCGTCTGACTCTACACATCAAGCCCGATGCGAGATGGAAGCGAGAAGACTGACACGACAGCAGACTAGTGTCTTATCAGAACTGAAAAACAGTCAGAGTTGAGATGGCTGTCTGTCATGATAGCATGTACTGAGTCGGGACCAGTACCAGATAAGCACATTAAACTATAATCCATAAATGTAAGGTAACAACTGAGACCTAATGGTGCTGTGACAACAACGTGATTGAGTTTGATAAAGTCATCACTCACGTTCCCTGGCAGGAGGGTCTCGCTGCTGCTCCTGGTGTTCCTTAGCTGCTGTTGCTCCCTCCGCTAGCATAAATGTTTGCTCTGGTGTGACTGTTGGCTTGAGCGCTTGGTTTCCTAAAAGCATAGCTGTGCCGCTGCTTCCTGCTTGCTCCCATCAGTGGTCGTCGTACTTCTTCGGCGAACAAAAAAAACTCTTATATCCATTTTTAATATAACGCCTGTGGTGAGATGCCTCCTCTTCTTGCTTTATTTTGGTTGGACTTCCTGTTGTTTCTTTGTTTCCCTGGTCTGGCTTGACTCTGTTTTAGAGCACCCTCCCCCTCCCCGGTCGCTGAGGCTGAGTGAGACTCCACACCTGCACTGCATCTACAATCAAGGCCCTTTAAGAAGCCAGCAGCCCTCAGTCTCAGCGCCTGAGTATTGTCTTCACTCCTGAGTGGTACAGACGCTTCTACTTGCCTCTTTCTTGGATAAGTGCTCGTGACTTTTTTGCTCCCTGTGATTCTTTGTATATCTTCTCACTTCCATCTCCTCTGCCTCTCCACAGTGTCTCCAGCCCACACAACAGCCAGCCAGCAAACCAGACTTCTCACGGTCAGGCATTAAAGAAGCTGGTGGGTGAGAAGTACACAAAAGCCAAGGAAAAAGCCAAGGAAGATATTCAGAAGGTGTCTGCTGTTACATTGACCGCAGATATGTGGACATCGATGAATATGGAGGCCTACCTGGCCATCACCTGCCACTTCATTGATTTAGATGATAAACTCGGCACTGTGTTGCTTGGAGTAGAGCATTTCCCTGTGAGTCATACATCGGAGAATTTGGCACAGGCAGTGCATACTCAGATGGAGGAGTGGGGAATCACTGACAAGGTGAAATGCCTTGTCACCAATGCTGCATCAAACATGATTGCATGTGCGAGGGCTTCACAGATAAGGCGCTCTATCTGCATCGCTCATGGACTTAATTTGCTTGTCCGCAAATCTTTTGACCAGATCCCCGCCTTCTCTGAAATCCGCACAAAAGTAAAAAAAATAGTGACCTATTTTCGTACAAGCACCTCGGGTAAAGCAAGACTGGATCAGGTTCAGGTGCAGATGGGAAGACAGCCACAGAAGCTAATAATGGAAGTAGACACTCGCTGGAACAGCACCTACCTCATGCTAGAGTGTCTATTTAAACTGAGGGAGGGATGTAAGCCCACTGATGTCTCATGAATTTGAGACAATTGAACAGAGCTTACCTGTATTTGCCCCATTTCACCAGGCAACAGTGGAGCTCTCAGAAGACAGACGGGTTTCAATATCAAAAGTCATACCCCTGATGAAGACGCTGCATAATGCTGTCCTGGGGAAGTCAGAGCAGCTCACCAATGATGTGGCAAAGCAGCTCTCTGACAACCTAATGAGGCGTGTTAGAGAAAATGTAGCCAGCAATGAGTCTCTAAGTGTGATGACAATGGCAACCTTGCTGGACCCAAGATTTAAAACCATTGGATTCCTGAGTCCCAACAGGTCACAAGAGGCAGTACGACGACTAAAGGCAGAATGTTCGGCAACTATCAGCAACAGTGAAGTTGTTCAACTTCCAGGTCCAGCAGAGGCAGCTGAAGGTACCAGCAGCTCTGGTATGATTTTATTCATCATGTAAATTGCTGTATTTCAAACCTTTCAAGTGTTCCATATGATCATTACAAATCTGTGTTTTAACTATTTTTAGGTGAACTGTGGTCTCTGCTGGATGAAACTGTGGATCAGAGAAGAAGAAGCTCCAATGCCTCGGCAGATGCAATCATAGGAGGTGGAGCGGTACCTTGCAGAAAATAACTTGAGGAGAAACGAAGATCCGCTGGAGTACTGGCCTACTCAAAAGCACGTGTACCCTCATTTGTATCACATGGCACTGAGGTTCTTATGTTCCCCCGCATCATCAGTGCCTTGTGAGAGGGTGTTCTCCAAAGCTGGGGAGGTCATTAACAAAAAAAGGAATTGCCTTAAACCAGAGACAGTAAAAATAAATCCTCTTCTTGAATAAAAATGACTTTATTGTTATTGTACAGGGATTAAACACTATTCTACACTCACCGGCCACTTTATTAGGTACACCTGTCCAACTGCTCGTTAACACTTACTTTCTAATCAGCCAATCACATGGCGGCAACTTAGTGCATTTAGGCATGTAGACATGGTCAAGACAATCTCCTGCAGTTCAAACCGAGCATCAGTATGGGGAAGAAAGGTGATTTCAGTGACTTTGAACGTGGCATGGTTGTTGGTGCCAGAAGGGCTGGTCTGAGTATTTCAGAAACTGCTGATCTACTGGGATTTTCACGCACAACCATCTCTAGGGTTTGCAGAGAATGGTCCGAAAAAGAAAAAATATCCAGTGAGCGGCAGTTCTGTGGGCGGAAATGCCTTGTTGATGCCAGAGGTCAGAGGAGAATGGCCAGACTGGTTCGAGCTGATAGAAAGGCAACAGTGACTCAAATAACCACCTGTTACAACCAAGGCAGGCAGAAGAGCATCTCTGAATGCACAGTGCGTCGAACTTTGAGGCAGATGGGCTACAGCAGCAGAGGACCACGCCGGGTGCCACTCCTTTCAACTAAGAACAGGAAACTGAGGCTACAATTTGCACAAGCTCATCGAAATTGGACAATAGAAGATTGGAAAAACGTTGCCTGGTCTGATGAGTCTCGATTTCTGCTGCGACATTCGGATGGTAGGGTCAGAATTTGGCGTCAACAACATGAAAGCATGGATCCATCCTGCCTTGTATCAACGGTTCAGGCTGGTGGTGGTGGTGTCATGGTGTGGGGAATATTTTCTTGGCACTCTTTGGGCCCCTTGGTACTAATTGAGCATCGTTGCAACGCCACAGCCTACCTGAGTATTGTTGCTGACCATGTCCATCCCTTTATGACCACAATGTACCCAACTTCTGAAGGCTACTTTCAGCAGGATAATGCGCCATGTCATAAAGCTGGAATCATCTCAGACTGGTTTCTTGAACATGACAATGAGTTCACTGTACTCAAATGGCCTCCACAGTCACCAGATCTCAATCCAATAGAGCATCTTTGGGATGTGGTGGAACGGGAGATTCGCATCATGGATGTGCAGCCGACAAATCTGCGGCAACTGTGTGATGCCATCATGTCAATATGGACCAAGCTCTCTGAGGAATGCTTCCAGCACCTTGTTGAATCTATGCAACGAAGAATTGAGGCAGTTCTGAAGGCAAAAGGGGGTCCAACCCGTTACTAGCATGGTGTACCTAATAAAGTGGCCGGTGAGTGTATATTGTGATAATATCCATCATTCATTTTTCTATCACTGCTTAATCCGCACTCTGTATTGTGAAAAAATTTGAAATCTATTTGAATGACTTGGCTGGAACAGTTTAACTCTAGCAACAGATGGGGCAAGTGAGCACTGAATGAAGCTTCGAGTAGTGAACCTTTGGGCAAAGCAATGTGCTGGAAAGCCTCACAATGATGCTTGCGAGTGAGTCGTATTTGTTTCTGCTAAGAAACTAACTCCAGAAATGGTAGCGCTCAGTGCGCACTTTGGATTGGACGCTGGTTGCCTAGGCACTGGGGACCGCCTCCCACCTTTTGCGGAAGGAGGGAACTTTTAAAGAGACAGCTGTTTCAATCTTCATGGAGAGGAAAATTGATTTTATGTTCAAGAGAAAGAGAGATGCAGCAGATGATGATACTGTGGCATCAGAGTCGGTACCTTGTCAAACTTGAGTGTGCTCCTCTTGTACAAAGCCTATGGGTACAGTACCTGAAAGATCATTATCCTACTTTCACCCCTGAGTATTACTACAGTGTGAAGCAAACATTTCCTTCCATGCTCCAATGGAAAACTTTAAAAGAGAATCATTTTATTGAGATGTAGCTATCTTTGCCATAGTTTCCAGGTGAATCTGACAGTACCTGCTTGTCAAGGTGTCTTAAATTCTACATTTAGTGATGGGGATTACCATTGAGGGTCTCCCTCCATCAGAAAGGCTTGAGGCTGAGTGAGAAAATTGATAAAGGAATGGGTTTAGATGAGTTCTAAGTAACCAAGAGGGGGCAGGCTAAAATATTTACTTTTGACAAACTCAAAAACTGAGTTTGGTAAAATCCATTTATTGAGAGTCCAACATAAGGGAAGAATTCTACATTATATCATAAAGCTTAATGAGCAGTACTGTCTTTTCAGGAATCTTTTTTGCTCATTTGTTATTAAGATAAGCCATTAGCTCAGAAAGAAGCCTGTGCTGCAAATAACTTGACGTTAAGTGGTTTCTTTATTTGCTGTAACAAAGGAACTGAATCACAGCAAAATCCTTTAGCACTGCCAGCTACATGCAGCTGTGTCTATTTTAAGCATTTTACCATCCTGCTTCTGTATTATTCCCTCTTGCTACTGTCATTTTTTTTGGTTCAGGACACTGTTTGTTTGTGCCAAAGTACCTGGCATAATGGACATGCACAGGTGTGGGAAGGTAAAATGATTCAGCATGAGCAGCCACCTGCTCACAGCTCTCTGCCATCCTCCACCCAAATAAGTATTCATTGTCCTGAAAATTGTGGAAACATAGGCTGACATATTTATGTTCATTGATTCAACTGCAAACTCAAAGTTGCAGCATGTTGCAACAGAAACCTTAGTGTACAACTTAAGAAACAACCCAATCCAAAAAAGTTGCCCCAGAGGCTGTGTGAACTGAAATAGAGGCAGATCTTGATGGTTTGGAAATTACATTATACCCTACATATACAGAGCGCATATAGTGGAAAATAGGACAAATAGGACATAACAAATAGTGAAAGAGAAACATGGTTTTGTTCCTTAAAAAAATGCACATTTTAGGTTTCAAAAAAGTTGGGACTCGAGTATGAGGTGAGTATATCACTGTCAAGCCATTGTCTGTGATCACAGCAGCACCAGCTTTTCTCTCACTATTTTCCTTTGTCAAATGGTCTGGCTTAACCTTTCCAGAGAAGTCCTTCACCTTAAAATACTTTTGCAGAGAAACAGCAGATCTGCACACAAAGGATTAAGAGGCTTCATTTAGTTGTTTTGAAGGAATCGAATTGAAACTCTACACTGAGAATATTTCTGAAAACTAAAGCCGTCAAGCACGGTTTCATTTCCAACACCCCTCCTCTATCTTTCCTCAATGTTATCTCAGTGCTGCTGTCAGGAATCATTTCCACTTTTCACCTTTTTTTCAGGTCACACACGTTTTTATTTCCTTTTCTATTTTGTTGGAGGACTGAAGGTAGGTGCTGCCAAACCTCATTCTGTCTGCGATGCTTTCTAATGTATGTTTATATCGGTTTCTGAAAGTGAGAAAGGGTTTGGCATGACCTCCTGGTCTCTGTAACTGGGCGTGAATACAGAAGGACATGTTGCTGTAGGCCATCAAACAAGGTGCACTAGCTCCCAGCACTCTCATAAATAATCAGAGGAAAAAGTCTTTCCCTGGCTTCACTTCAGGAGAGTTGTTTGGCTCAGCTGCAGGACTCAGTGTCCTCGAGCAAAGACCATCAACTCTGACGCTGGCACAAAATCTCAATAACATCTTGATGGATTACATAAGAGATTTTAACTATTTCTATATATATATAAAATTAACATCATGGTCATGTTTTTTAACATTTCAGCAATGAATGATCAGACATTCAGCTTTCAACCTGCGCTCCAAAGACAGTTGTTGTGATTGATCATTCAAAATTTCTGTCTCTCGGTTCATTGGTCCTGTTTTTTTAAGAGGAACTGTCCTCAACAAAATGACTTAGTCAGCCTGTAAGGACACAACAGATCATTTTTTCAGGCCTAAACTTTTTGTAGAGTTGACCAGTTAGTTACAAATATTACATGTTTGGTTACTTTCTTCTCAGACAGTGCAGTTGTGGTACTGAGCAGGTGCTTTATTGACTCTCACTCCCAAACTTCAGCAAAGTTTCTTTGAGACAAAGATTAATTATAATGATTGATTGTTCTTGTGTACACACTTCTTGTTGGACTTTGTTCAGTCGTTTCTGCATTATTCAGCATGTAAACAAAGAGTCACTTCTCATTTTGGAAATGTTTTTTCTGGTCACAAACACTGAACCGTCTACCCATTAAAAACAGGAGGTACTTGAATTGTTGTCAGAGCCTGAATTTATTCCTCAGACCATTTTGGTCTTTGTTATTCTGTTTTTGATTGGATCCATTTGTTATGTCTGGGCATCTGCTCTGCAGTGTGGAGCCTGTGCCAGCTTTCAGACAGGCGTCTGCTTCTGGCTCTGGGTTGTTGGTGCCTTGAGCGAATGAAAGCATGACAGTGCCTGTCATGTCTTCAATGTGTCAGCGGGGACTCATTAACTAAACAAATCTGTGCCATCGGCCCGCAGTCCAGCAAGAGATCCAACCCCAGAGACCCACAGGATAGTAAACAAAAATTAAAATGGTTAAAATTCAATCTCTCTAAGTAAAGAGTTTGTTTTTTAGACCTTTTTTTGTCTGGTCCGAGTGTGATGTGACCTCTGTTCAGACAAAATGTGAGAGTCAACAGATGGAAACAGAAACTCTCAGTCCGATTACAGCTGCCTTGTCGAGCTTGAACAAACACTTATGCAATGACTCGCCCCTTAATTTGGGTTATTTACTGTTTAACTGATTTTCAAATGACGGTGTCAAGTCACCAAGTGGATCAAAACAAGTAATAAACAAATCTGTGACTGGTTTAAATCATCTTTTTGCACTGGAAACACGT